ATATGCAGTAATGCGTCTTGTGGTATTTGCGGGGTGATCTGCGCCTAATATCATTGCATCGTATGATTCTGGTTGACGAAGGTTCGAGGTGATGATGTCTGCTGTGTATGCGGATAGGCTGTATGTTGGCGTGTTGACCTGCGATAGTTGTATTGATGCATGTTGCATTTAGTGACATTGCGTCTTGCGACATTTGCTTGGGAGACGACGCTATTCATAATGGCCGAGTCTGCGTCTCGGTTTGATGCACATCTCAGTAGATTTGTCCAAGTCGGGTTCCTGATGACGGAACTGCAGACTGTCTGACCTCTTTATACGTTTTATCATTATTAACGAATCTCAGTAAAGTTCCCACCGTTCGAACGAATAATGGCAACTTGCTGGTGGGTGAGACAAACTTGATCGAAAATACATTATACTCAACGTCAGAGACACTGACAAATAATTATATGTTGCCAATTATAAACCCTTCTGATGGCTAAACATAAAAATCACAACTATGGCTATATCTGACTATTTCAATGGTTGGTGGAGCATATGCGTTTACCTCATGTGGATGGTAGCTGGCGGTAGAAAACCTCTCAAGGCTGCGGCGATGCCGTGCAACGTTTTAACCATACCCTTGGGGTGAGCAGTGACTCATAACGCGCTCTGCGACGAAATGTCGTACTAACCTTTTTAATGGTGGTGATGCCAAAACACTAACAATCACGTCTGCAGTCGCGGCGATCTGGCAAAAGTGGTGGCGCTTACGGAGGGCTTATTATATCATAGGGCCAGAGTGCCTGATTTTTAACACATGCCCAAAACCGTATTGACGTACATTCACAAAGACTGGATTTGTCGTCGGCTTGTATGACGTTTACACGCATTGACATGCGCGACTTCGGTCAAAGTTTGTGCTTACGCACTGCCAAGGGGCCAAGCCCTCTTTATGCTGGTAAAACAGCTTTGCAATGGACTTCGGTCCTTTCCCTAACTTTTTGTCCCTCTTCTGGGGGGGGGGGGGGGGGGGGGGGGGCGCAATTTGTTGGTTGGCGCTCACCGCACACGGCGTTAGTGAGTGTTTTCATGGAGCCGTGTGCCTTCCCTACATTTTTTTTTAAATGTGGGGGAGCTGTTGACTTGTATCGGGTGTGTAAAATTGATGTGAGCCCTTTACAAGCGTGAGTGGGAGTATACTATATACTCTGAGCCCGTCTCAAGCGAGTCGGGATTAGTTGTTAAGAAAGCAATCTGACATTATCTCTGGCTTATACCACGACTAGTGAATATTTATCTATCCAAGATACACCTAAAAGAATCAAGTTACTAAATTAACACAACGTAAATGAAGTCCTACCGAACATGACGATCACAATAATATTTCATACGGCTAATTATTACCTTTAGAAAGATCCTATAGAAAGATCAATAATTTATCCTGGTCACGTAATGATATTATATGATTTATTCGTATAACGGGGCAGAAATATATATAAGTTTAATTATATATATGCATAAAGGGGGCTTCAGTTACACCACGTAAAAATGTATTATATTCCGGGAATATACAACTACCATGCCGATCATCTCTCGAGGTTACGTGCAACACCGGAATGGCACCTGTCCCCGGAATGCACAAACAAGATTTTCACCAAATGGGGAATGCCGGTAATAGATCTGTTTGCGTCCAGCCGAGCACATTTGGTAAGCAACTATGTATCTCTAGATCTAACAGACAATCAAGCCCTGTTCCACGATGCCTTCTCACAAATTTGGAGGTACCGTCTAGCCTGGATCTTTCCTCCCCCGTTCTTAATTTCGAAGGTTCTAAGCCACCTCAATCAAGCCCAAGGGATATACTTGATAGTAGTACCACGTTGGAATCAAGTCTTCTGGCGCCCGGACATCAAAATGCGTGCCCTAGCCCCACCGTTCACACTACACCACCTAGACAAAGTCCTGATCGACACTGCAACGGGACACCATCCTCCGAATGTCAAAGATATGACTCTAGAAGTGTGGAAATGTGAATGGACTCTAGAAGGGTGGACGGGGATGCTAGATACTTGGAATGACAGTCAATTAAAACTTCTCGAAAAATCCTGGCGTCCTTCAACGCGAAAAGTTTACAGTGCTGCATGGAAACGGTGGCTTACCTGGTGTAATATACATCAAATTAATTATTCTGTGCCTAAAGCAAGTGATTTAGCAAGATTTTTATCTGATCTTTATTTAATTCACAAATTATCACACAGCTCGATTTTGTTGCACAAATCGGTAGTTTCGAATCTATGCAACACAGAAATAGCCGGCCAACTAAGTTCTCATGTTTTAGTGAAGCAAATTTTAAAATCGATAGCTCTAGACAAGCCGGTTAGCTATGCAAAATCTTCTGTATGGAATATAGACGACCTTGTAGCTCATCTTAAGACAAAATGCATTGATAAAAACAACTGTTTTCAAGTTCAAAGACATACTGCCGCTTTGTTATTACTTTGCTCAGGAAGAAGAATACATGATTTGACTTTACTTACAGTTGATGTTTTATAAAAGATAACGAGATCATTTTTTGGCCTAAATTCGGATCAAAAACTGATTCCGCTGAATACCGGCAGTCTGGCTGGAAATTGATAGCTAACCACGATAATGAAAACCTGAACCCAGTTTTTTGGATAAACCAAACAATAGTCATTGTGAACGAACGTAGAGTGGCCGCCCGTTCTAGTTATTTGTTTATGAATATTAGAAACCAACCGCGTCCAGCGTCAAGAATTATCATTGCTGGTTGGATTAAATCATTGCTTACGGAAGCCAAGAAAAAGGCCACTCCGGGAAGCTTTAGGTCTGCAGTTGCATCAAAGAATTGGCTGGATAATGTTCCCGTTGAAGAGATACTCACCAAAGGCAATTGGCGTTCTCAAAATACCCTTTCTAAATTCTATAAGCGAGAAGTAAGGCCTCCGACTAATCATTCCTCTATAACTTCTTTGTTTAATCCAATTACTTGAGAGTAAAACTGATTTATATTTTTTGTTTTAAATATAATTTAATTTTTTCTAATAAATTTTTACTATTTTGTGTTCCTTTTATTCTAAATGGATATTCTAAAGATTCACATTGGCGTCCTATATCACATCCACCAGGCGATAACAAACATGTCTCAATTAAATAAGCTTCGAATAACGGTCAAGTCAAATTAATAGAGGCGTTTTGCCTACCAATAAAACACTTATTAATTTACTTACCTTATTCGAAGCTTATGATTCACCTCTGCCTGGTAATTGAAGACTCAATGAAGTTTAAGCAACATAGTGCTGCAGTCGTAAACTCTAATTCAGCCAAGCGGATGTGACGTCATAACCAAGAAGGAACTAAAATACCGGAAGTTACGAGATGTTTCAGGTGGGAAATATAGTGCCTATCTCTCAATTAAATAAGCTTCGAATAAGGTAAGTAAATTAATAAGCGTTTTATTGGTAGGTAAAACGCCTCTATTAATTTGCACTTTAAGACAAATTAACAGTGTAAGCCAGAAAATTTGAGAAATTTCTTTCTTTTATTATATTCGCGTGAATTCCAAAATTAAAATGTTGTTACCGTCATTCCATATTGTCTTCTTGAAACGCGGAAATCAAAGGTTTACGACGAATTATTAAGACAAAACGTGTCATGTTCGTGGGTCAACTGACGCTCATTATTTACGCCCAAAAATTAAAATAAATGTCAATGTTAACGGTGGTTATGGTAATTAGCTAAAGATAAGAAGTGACGTTTTAGTAAGCGATTTTACAAAGAAATTTCATTAAAACAGTTAAATTGAGTTTGTTTATTCGTTTATCTCGAATTCGATTAACTTAAGCATATAAATAAGAAATATTACGGGCTTATAAATACAGACAGACAGAGGGACAGACAGTGATGTAATTAAATTGACGATCTATGTAATGATCAGCATTTATTTGACAATAAAAACTGATACATTGGGGAGAGGGTTGGATGGCGTTTTTTGATGAGATCGTTGAAAAAGGGTTCATATTTATATTTTTTTCTTTTTTTAAATGATACTCATCCATGACAAAATTTAATTATGGTTTTGCATATTTTACGAATTGAGTAATCATAAATAATTATTCGTCGCCTGTCTTAAATTGTCTGTGTATGAGAAACGTGAAGGATATAATTTTGCTAAAAATAATACAAAGGCGTTTCTTATATTCTGCAAGAGCCTGTTTTAGTCTCATCTAAGGAACAAAATAATTGACACACACTTTTAGTTATAGCTTATGCATTGGTGTAAAAATCCCTTTAATTGCCATGGTTTGTCCATCGCGCACGTCCTTGAGGTTCCAATGCCAATTACGTTCACCACGAAATTTTAAGTCGAAAAAACCTGGATGATGTTTCCACGGTGTCATCTTCTATCCTTTATCGCTTTCTCAGAAGAGTCTTATGATAATTTCAGGAAGCAAAGTCTAAGGACGGTTCATCCTTGAATCGTTAGGAAAAAGGCCCAGCTCTTGTTTGACACGCTTGTATTTCTATGACCTCTTAAAATATGATACGATGAACATCATGTTCCTAGGGAAATAAGGTATTGTGTCGGGCGACAGTTTTAATGATTGGGATTAATAATTGGTATTCGATTTAAGTCAATTTTTTTATAAATATTTTATTCGGAATATATCCAACCAAATCTTCGTAATAATCGTTGCCGTTTTGTAGATTATGACCGTTTTTTTGTAGACGTAAGTTGATTTACAGTGAAAAAAATATGTAACTATAAATATATATTTGCTAATTGCCCAATATTGTGACACCAAAATTAATGTGGAGTTCGATGTGATCTATTTAGATAGATTAAAAAGTTTAAAGTTATGGGAGATAGATAAAAACTTTTCAGTCTTAATCTTGTTTTGTGCAATCAACAGTATTGAAATTATTATGTAAATGAAAAAATTATCGTTTCCAACATTAATTATTTATAAATAGTAAAAAAAAGTTGTATTTTAATTTACCTTGGTCTACTAGTAGTGAGTAGATAATGTCTTCTCCGTTATCAGCGCTTGCTGCAACCTGTCCGATTAATCCCGTCTGTGTATTGTCCACTTGCATAACGTATGAAGCTGAACTAAATCTCACGGTAGGGGTACCAGGAGTTTCTGCGAAATAATTACCTTAAAGTTTCACATTTCTGCGCATGAAACCTTAAATATCTGTTTATTTGTATTCATTTAAAGTAAAATTCAAGTGAATGTTCGAAATTATTGAAGTTTAATAACTGAAAATTCCTGGCAGTTTCGGCTTGGCTAAAAGTGAGTTAGATTTTTTAAATATATTCATGACAATGGATACCAGTCCTTCAGTCGTATACATAATATCCGTTAGTTAGAGACAGGATAGTGTTTTCATCATAAATAACCAAATCAATGATAGTTTGCCATAATCAAAACTCGCTAATTGAGAAAAGTTTGCCATAATTTTAAATTAAAGGAAACGCTTTGTTTGGATTTATAATGTCAGTACTTAAGTTATAATGGATAAAAGATTGGTAGAAGATTTATAATAACGTATTTAAGTATATCAAGTATCAATTGCATTATGTGATAATTTGCGTGTTCTTTAACATGTCATTAAGAATTTGAAGGTCAGTCAGTCTTTAGTTTTTGCCGCTATTAATATAAACAGGAAATGTGGCCCTTTATTTGAATGATTTATGATTTATAGCAGTATTTGATATCCACTATCAAGGATGTGCGGCAAAATGCGTCAGAAAGCAAGACAATGGATACATGCAATTATTTGCACAATCACTTCAGGCTTTTATCAGAAAAATAAGTTAATGCGCATTATTGATTATGGATCTGTCTGTCATGAATATTTAAACTTAAGGGCCACGCCGTCTACACTGTTGCAAGAATGGGCATTTCCATTCGTGGACGTACCATACCCTGACCTCACAGAAGACGGGCGTGAAGTAGAAGTGTTACACTTCTGCGTTGCGTTTGGAGAGTGAGGTAATTGGACCCCACTTTAATAAAAAATGGCACACGTCTAACAGTGTAACAAGTGTCCACGAATGGCGGTTATCACGTATAATCGCAGGACATCGAGGTGATGAACCGCCAACTCGATAACCAGCGTTCCACAACACCACGATTTACAAGGCATTTTCTGCCGCATAACCACTCTGTGCAAACAGCTGCCACCGGCGGTAATTCCTAACCGTTACGACGTTGGAAACTTTCAAGAAGAGAGCATATTCTTTCCTAAAAGCTAATGCATTTGCATGCCCTCCGATGTTGCAGATGTTCATGGGCGGAGGTGATCGCTTACCACCAGGTGAGCCCCCTGCTCGCCTTTAACCCTTTTTTCCATAAAAGATAAACTCGCTTGCCACCTTCTCACATAAACAAACTATGCAGTTAGCTGAAAAATCAAGTTAATTAAAAAATGTAAAAAAGTAAAAAAATCAAGTCAATACTATTCAATTTTCATTACATCCTTATGACATTTAAAAACGGGGATCAAATTCATACATACATTCATGACATAATCAAAAAAGGATTACATAGCAGAGATTGGAAATTTTTAGCATAGCCAAATGAAATCAATATCACCAAACAATGGCTGTCGAAGTGTTGCAGTTTAATTTTTTCAAGGATTAAAGGAACAGTTGGACTTTTTACAAAAATCTAATTTAATTACCTTGTTGAATGACATCAAGTATGAGAACAGAGCCAGCACCAGGAACACGAAGTTCTAGAACTACGTGAGATTTATCAATGGGTGGAGGCGTTGTGCCTCTTAGCTGAACAGTCACGATTCCGGCGTTTATTTGAGCCGTGAAGAAAGTGACGTAATCTGAAAAGGCCATGACACGTAGTATGTCCAGATTTGTTCTGATTTAATCTTCTACATAGAAATTAACAGAATTTCGGAGTGTGACAATTTTGTATTGTACCCAACCTTACCTCCGTAAATTTCAATACGTGTCCCATTGTACCCGGAAACAAAAATACTTTCATGTGATATGTCACCGCCACGCCAAACACCACTGTAGTGCAACTTATCAAATAATATATAAGCATCGTCAGAATCTGAAATGAATGCAAATAATGATAAGCCATAGTATTTGTTGCGGTTTCAAAAGAAGCTCCAAATAAATATAATGCCTGAATAGAAAAAGGAACGAAAACCACATCATTCTCATTATCATTTTACCACGTTCAAGTCCGCGGTTGCACATAGGCCTTTTCCACACACCACCATGACAACCGCGATTTTATGAAACACCAGTGCTTTTCAATAATATTTGAATGGTGCTATAATTAATTACCTACTCACCTAAGAAATGTTAAACCATATTAGGAAGTGCCTTTAAAAAATAAATTAAAATAAATAGCGTTATTTTAACGCTATTCATTTTAAATACTTGTCAAAAACTGCTAAAATTTTTAAAAATTTTGTCTAATTTGTAAACAATAACAAAATTAAAAAATACTTTATCTATTCCTGCTAATGCATTTTTATAATGGAATTAAACTTGGAAATTACCACTTGGAAGAGAAATCACGATTGTTGATCTAGCACTAATAAAGCTTTCCGGTTTTCTGGCAGTTGCAATGAAAATAAGCTGCCAATTTTCGGAGAGTATTGCTAATGGTATGGGACTAGTAAGAATTAGTATTAAGCCGTTCTCTGTCGGCTCCAGGGCAAACCATATGGAGTGATCTGAAAAAGATTCAGAATTTACAAAGAAATTATGTACAAATATAATTAAAATATTTATAGTAGCAATTTCTTTTATATCTTTTGACTTTCACAAAGTAAAAGTTACGTAATATTTGCAAAAGCTTTGTATGCGGACCTCCTTCAAGTGCGAAATCTACTCTTTCGTGGGAACCCTCCGTGAGGCTAATAGTATTATCAAAAATTAGGCCTTCGGTTATGCTGTAAACTCCGGTATAGTATGTTTGGTTGAACTCAAGCAGCTCAATGTAAATAGGCAATTCGCTTTGCATTTTAACTTCGAGTATAATTGAGGTGTAACTTGGTATAGCTTCCGGTGCTGATGCCATGAGCTCTAGTATGATAACTCGATTATTAGATAAAATTTCTTCTGAAATGCCGTTCTGCAATGATATAAAAACTGTAGCCCCGTCAATCATCTTCGTAAAAAATATCGAAAACTCTGAAATCATTAAAATATGTAATAATTATTTTATATCATTGTATTTATATAGAATCATTAGATCTGTTTTCATTAGATATAACATACCTCCGATGAGGGAAAATTCAACGTTTGTTGAAAACCCTTCTACCAACCTAATTGCTTCAAGATTAACCGTAACATTATCCACCGAGCCGATGTAATTCCTCTTTTCAAAACCGAGGAGTGATGTACGAATCTCTGAAATATAATATATTATAAATATGCAAATAGTGCTCTCCTCTTTTTTGTCTTGTTAAATTGTATAAGTCGGCGTGATACCGATTTAAAAGTTTCAGTCCTAAGTCAAAGATTTTGAATTAATTTCTATTATTTAAATCACAAGACTTAGAAATTTCCAATTTTCAGACAAATGTTAAATGAACTTAATTAAACAAAACAAAAATCATTAATACCCTTTGTAAGGATGATGATTATAGTAGATCTAGCTGTGAGAGGATTGCCAGGTCTATTTGCGTTAATTTCGAAAATGAGCTGAGTATTATTAGCCAATACAGCTGAAGAAAGTGAACCGTTGATGGATATTGTGACCCCTTCGTCCAACGGTGATATTGTAAACCAAATCGAGTTTTCTGAAATCAAAAATCCAGTATTAGTAAAAATGAGGACGTCATGATAAGTGTTACAAATTTTTTTAATGGGTAAATGGTACAAACTTTGAAAAAATAACCTATTATTCATAAATTCCTTCATTCCGGAAAAATGGTATGGCAGGTGCGTAACGAGAGATTTTACTTATATAAATTTAAGGCTACGTACCACCGTGCAATGAAAACTCAACACTATCATCGTATCCTTTAGCAAGCGTTATATTGTTATTAAATATGAAACCATCAACTTCGTTGTAAAATCCGACGTAATACGTCTCAGCAAATTGTAGTACATTGGTGCTGTCAAGAACTTCATCATGTTGTAATACTTGAAGAACAATAATGGCGTAAGTTGATAAAGCTCCGGAAGAAGATGCTTGTAACTCGAGTATTATTATTCGGTTGTCAGGCAGAGACTCTTCAGGAATTGGGGTCGGCAATGTTATAGATACTGTTTTTCCATTTGATGTATTCGTAAAGTAAATTGCTAATTCTGAAATAATATATAAGGTAAGTTATCGTTCAATTTTTTTTATTAATTTAATTAAAGTATTCAACTTAAACGGCTCCAAATTATTAATAAATATGTGGTCAAAATTTGATTGTTACTATTAAAGCTAAAGTCCACTAGCGTTAACAAACCCTTCCATATGGTTAATGTACAAAAATATATGGATAATATATATATTGAACTTGCCCCCGTGCAGCGAAAATAACACATCTTCAGAAAAGTCATTGATAAGAGAAATAGGTTGCAACTCAAGTGTTGTGTCATTGATAGTTCCAATGTAATGAGTCCTCTCGAAACTAAGTATAGGCTTGATGTTTTTGTCTGCGAATAAATTGTCTTGGTCTTGGTTAGAAAATACAAAAATCCAATAAACTTAGAATCATTACAATTATACTATTACTTAATAGAAGTATAAATACATATAATTTATCGGAAATAAAATATGAATTACTTTTGTCAGTTTTAAATTTTGCACACGTTTCTAAAAGAAAAGAACATTACCATCTGTAAGCACAATGAAAATTGTTGACCTAGCTATTGTCATGTTATTATACATTTCTGCAGAGATGATGAAGATAAGTTGTCTATTGTGTGCCAATATATCTGATGGCAAAGGAGATATGGTTGCTAGAGATGCGCCTTCGTCCGCAGGTATAAGGGTGAACCATTCTGAGTAATCTAAAAGTAAATTTTAGATTAAAAATTAACTTAAAAATTAGACTAATCTAGAGTAATTAACGGCAGTGTAATCATTGTTGCATTTAAAGATTTAAACAGATGCTAATTAAATTAATAACGAACCCTTAAATTTTATATGAAACAGTTTACGCCCTGTTATGATCATGGTATCAAGCCATTAAAAATCAGAAATTAATTCTAACAAAAGTAATTTAAAAGTTAGTACAGTTTTAATTTTAAATTAAATATTATAACTTACTGCCAACAAGTTCTAAGGTAACATTATCGTTTAAATTTTCTTTTAAACGAATAGTATTGGTAAACTGTAGGCCGATTTCGTTAGAGTATTCTCCATAGTAATAAGGTTGCTCGAACGTGGCAGTTGTTGGTGGGATTTCCTTTATAATTTCTAAAACGATTGTGGCATGACCTCTTATCGCATTTGAATGGGATGCTTCTATTTCTAGTAATATATAAGCATTATTTTCAATAATCTCAGCAGACAGTTCTTCGATTTGCTTAATCGTTACCCTATTCGTTTCTTCGGTATAAGAAAACAGATTCTGATAAGCTAAAATAAAAATAAACATATTTTGACATTTTTGTTAAATATTTATGCCGTTAGGTAAGAATTAAATTACATATAATATATTCATGGCATTTATAAAGCCTGAAGTAAAATATACCTCCAATAAGTGAAAATGAAGTTTCAGGTAGGAAACCTTCAATGAGTACGAGTGTCTCAATTGTCAACACATTGTTTTCTATTTTACCAATGTAAGTATTTTTCGAAAATCTCATCGTTACTGGGTCGGTAAGTTCTGAAAAAAGGGTTTTTATAATTATTAACATGTTATAACATGGAATAAAACAATTTCTATATCTCGCACCTTAAATAAAATATAAATACCTGGTGGAAAACTAATAGATATAGCAGCGTTAGCGCCTACAGTTAATGGCTTCTCTGCTATTATGTTGAATATTAGAACTTTTTCGTTATAAATTATCTCCCGAGGTATTGAGGACTGTAAAAATATTGAGATATTGTTTTCCTGGCGAGAAATATTGAAAAATTGTGCGTGATCTGAAAAATCAAATACATTTTTCATAACTAAATAGCATACTAAAGCTTATATTATCTATAAAACGGTGTAATCGTATGGTGCGTCGTTTCGTTAATATTAATAGAAGATAATTTTTTCAGTTTAATTTCTTTTGTGTTTCCCCCATTTCTATTTTCTATACTACAGTTATAATAATAAGAAGTTTTTATGACTTAGCAAAACTAATTAAATAAATCATAGATTCATTAAAAGTTTCAGGTAAATTAAAAAAACTGATATGAATAACACTCTCCATACAGAGGACGCCTTTTCCCATCAGTGGTACATCTGTAGGTTGTCATTTTATACATATTTCCCAAGCTTTAAAGAAGCTTTACGTTGAGTAACTGCATAACACACCTTCCATGTTCTTACCTCCGGAAAGTCGAAATGTTACATTTTCGCTGAGCCCTTGTATTAAAGATACATTTTCTGTGTTTAATAGGGACGCCGAGGAATAAGTACTATAATAAATATTTTGACTAAATACTGGTGTTACTGTGTCCTCTTTTATAATTTCCAGTATTATAGTTGTTGTCGCTGTGCTTGTATTGTTAGCAGTTGCAAATAAATTAAAAATCAAAAGGCTGTTTTCAGAAATTATGGTCTCGGGAAGCTCATCTAATACTTTCAATGTTACTTGATTTCCAGTATTTAGTGTTGCAAAATAAGTTGAATATTCTGAAATGCAAGTTCGATTAATACATTATATATAATAAATTGTTTTAAGTTATAATTATTTAAATATCTATTTAATTTTTACGTCGTTTACGAACGTTATGTCGAATTAAATTTATACTCGAGAGGCAATCAATTAACCAAAGTAGAAGAATGAATGGTATTAGCTCATAAATGTTCCATTTTATATTTCTTTTAAAATTATGGTCGCTAATTGGGTTTCTCAATTTACGACTGTAATATTAAAGTATAATTATATGACGCATTCACTATAATAATATTTTGTTACAAAGTCATAAAAATACTAACCTCCTGTTAGTTTGAAGGTTACATCCTCATCATAACCAACACTTAATTCCATTGTTTCTAGTGCAACGTCGCTATTTACCAAAAAACCGCTGTAAGTAAGAGATTTAAAAGCCAAAGTCCTAGCTGTAATAAAAAGATTTAAGAAAAGAGACAAAAATACGTAAGTAGTTAAAGTTATTTTTTAGAAGAATAGTTAAAAATCAATATAACTAAAAAGAAAAGTTCAAGTTTGCCCTTCAACTTCCATTATTCATTTATCATTAAAGTGATTTTCGTTCCTTTTATAAAAAGTGTTTTTTTCTAAGCCCGCAAAGTCAACTTTAATGCAAACGTCAACATTAACTTGCATAAGAAAATGTAATTTTTATCACATGATTTATTACATGATAATTATCATATATATATATATATATATATATATATACGATAATTATCATATATATATAAATATATATATATATATATACGATAATTATCATATACACATACTATATACACATAAATTTTAAACGGCGTCATAATCGTCCACAAATGTGATACAATTTGTTAAATTCTTATGTCCGTATTGACGACCATCGATCCCGTTGAAACGTCGTGACACTTAAGCGGTAGTGATAACATAACTAGCACTTAAATTTATTTACGTATCCCTTAAAGTTAGGAATCCATAGTGAAAACGGGCATTAAACTAATTAATATGAATCTATGGATATTTTGTTAATATTCTGCAGATATACATTTTTTTCAACGTATTCATTTTCTGTGAAAAATTCAACAAAATTTATATATCGTTTCCTTAAAGAACTTGATGAGTAAAAATATTTAATTTTTAATAAAAAATAATTCTCTTCGTTCTGTTTTGTATTCTTATAAATTAATTATTACAAAACAATTTTGCATGCAATTTTATTTATTGTCCCATGTTTTGCTAAAATAATTAGCAAAATGTGTATATGTATTAAGTAATGTCCTGGAACTGTAATATAAACTACCATACAAATAACAGATTGTTACCTTGAAAGCTTAATATGATTGTTGCAGTTGTGCCACTCGTAAGCTCTCGACTTGCTCTTATAATTAAATATATCTGCGTTTGTGCGATAGTTCCAATGGGAATCGGATTAGTTACATTTAAATTAAGACTGTTTCCGTTTTGAATAATTTCAAAATGGTCTTTGTTATCTGCAGATGAGATTGAAAACACATTCATTAATAAAAGAAATATTTTTAAAAAAGCATTAAATAAAATGGCAACTAAGTTTATACGGGATTCATTATTACAACACCTATTTATGTAATGCAAACTTAGATGGCAAAAAAATGATTGATTTTAATTGGATTGAAATTATATATAGCATAACGCTAATAGGCATGCCCATTATTACAGCAGAATGGTACATACTTTAGTATCATATTACAAATTCGTGAGAAAAAAAAATTACCTCCTTCTAATGTAAAAGTTACATTTTCATCGTAACCCTGTTGAAGGTAGATTTCCTTCTGTAGCAACACTTGATGATCGTCCGAATAATTTCCTAAGTAAAAAGTTCCGGAGAATATGAGATCGTCTGGAAATTCAAATTCAGTATCAGCTTCAATGCGAATTGTTCCATTTGTTGTGAGTGGAGGATCGGTGGTACGATCGACATCCTTTTTTGAAAAAAAAAAAAAAAAAACGTTATTAGTTTTATGTAAACAGTAAATTTACGAACATATATGTCTATTCGAAAGCCTACCGTAGCACTAATCCATAAGGTTATTGGCTCCGGCAATCTTCTTATAAATGCAGATGTCTTCAATATTGCTTTGAATTCTTTAGGCGTTGTGCTCCCGTTGTAGCTAATTTCAAAATATGGATTTTGTTGTATTTCGAATACAATCTTTTCTGTCGTCAGATCAATATCGCGTGCGATAATATCATTGATGCAATCGGTGATCAGAAATCCTGGTGGAACAGGCGGTGCAATTTTGAAAAGATAAACACTATTCGGCCTGAATTGCGGTGCATTATTATTTGTGTCTATAATGTTTATGAAAAAGACCTGAAATGAAAATTTTGTTTAATGGTCGAATATGATTTGGTTTTAGTGCTCCACATCATTGTCCCGCCCCAAGGTCGTGGAGACCTGGGACAAGGTCGTGGGACAAGGTCGTGGTTAGGGTGGGACAAGGTGGAAAACGAGCAGGCGGTTCAACTGATATTAATTGATTTTTGCCGCTTTTGGATGTTCATATTCGCTCTCAAATCTAATGTGATTCAAAAGTAATAATTTATGCGAGAAAAATTGTGTTAGACTGTGGTTTCTCCCCATACGAACCGGCCCATTTATATAAGTTTGTAACAGATTTCAGTAATATTGGCACAATCACAGTAAGTCCAATATAAGTGGAATTATATCTATAAGTTTACTCTGTCATAAATAGTATTTTGTCATCTTAATTACTAGACTGATTTTAAATACTATAGATTTTATTAAATTATAAACGATTTTAGTTCAATGACTGCACATTACATAATATTTTCAAACCAACGAAAATGAAAATTGGATGTCAGTTTAATAGGTACCAAGCCAGCTCATTTAGTTTTATAATTGTTCTTGAATCAAATATATCTGACCAGGGTGCTAAGTGAACCGCCACTGCATCTAAAGACGACAGTTACGCCCATAGAAGCTACGGTCTCTAGTTCTTCGTAGTTTTGGAAATCATCGTTCGTTGCGATGGTAAACACGGAAGTTTCACTATATGACGCATTTATATATGGTCCTGCGTTCAGTCCCTCGCTGAATGTTACGGTGTTAATACCTGTAAAAAAGTTTAGTCAAAATTGTAAAAATACTTGGATTTATAAGAAATTGTGTACTAATGATATGATAAATAATAAAACCTGTTATATTGGAGGTAGATCTTCGGAAGAAAATACCTCGATCAGTATCTTTAATACTTTGGGTGACAGGCACAAGCCAATTAGTAACGCCGTTCATTGAACATGCTGTAATCATAAAATAAACTGAGAAATTTAACATTACTAGGTACGGATTTATTGATGCAAATAAAGTTTCCTGCTGCTTTTATTCAATATCTATAGGAAAACTAAACTTTTCGTTAATCTTTAGACAGATTAGCACATCATTTTTTCTAGCCATCGTAATCCTTTGTGACTCCCTAATTAAATTAGGACTCTGACGTCAGTTTATTGTCGAACGAGGACCATGAATCTATAAAGATTACGATGAAATGCGAAAAGTTTCTGGAATGACAAGCATCTTTAGCTTTGTAGTAGTTTATATATTTGCCTTATTTAAGACGAAATGGCATACTGATTTCTAATGGCTATTCTCTAGGAAAAAATAATGCACGAACCATATGATCATATCAACATATACTCGTATTGCGAACGTGATTTTCATTTCAAACATTACAAATTACATTTAAATTGGTAAATTACGAATAAATCATTAGGATGAAATTTTTGAGATATACAGCGTGTCGTTACCATCGCGACAATAAATGAACACGCATATAGGGGATAACTTTTTAAAGTTGTATTAAACATTTAAATTCTTTAAACATCAATATTTACAGAGTTATTAAATTTTCCAAAACAAAGAATTTAAGAACACCCTTACCTATAAAAGCGTAACGTAAAGTTCATTTGTAAAGGTCACAAAGCATATGAATGGGTTGAATGAATTTAAAAGAGATAAAACATACTGTTAGAAGGAGAGGTAATGATGTATGAATCGAGCTGTTGACGCGAGTTGTATAAGATTTTACAAATTTTGTTTCTTTTTTACTTAATTAGTTTGTTTGAAAAATATTTTTTTTTAATTATGGATTTTGTTTTACGTTAATATTTTTTTTATGATTATTGGCGAGTAGCGTTAGACGTGTGTTCATTTATTGTCGCGATGGTAACGACACGCTGTATATGAAACTGTGTCAATCGACATATATTTCAACAACAAAACGACAAATCTAATTATATTAGAAGTTCATTAATGAAAGTATTAAAAGAAAAATGAATCATACAATATAGCTATTGAATATTTCATTATCGTTTACATCAGGTACCTGGACCCTTAATCAAATCATATGTTCCTCAATAGTTCGCTAGGTATATATTTTTACAAAATTCCGGTCATACAGATAAAGGAGTTTATTTCCATATAAGTATTCAAAAGTGTAGATACATTTCAAGGTCACGAGATATTAGTATTTAGTTGTCTGTAAGTAGTTTTTTATAAATATACACGACATATCGGAAGAAGAAATTATTATTTACCTTTTTCTTTGTATTATCGTAAATGCATAAATACAATGGAACAAAGCCGTTAAATAAACGTCATATTTGTTTAGTTTATTATTTTTAGTTGTTATACTTAAAACCTAATAATCTCATTTATTAAACTTGTGTACAAGTGGAACAAAGTTTTTAAAATAAAAAATAAAAAAAACATTGTTCTCTCTTTATTAAATTCTCCTCAAGTTTAATATGTTTTCTATCTTACCATCGTTGAAACTTAGTTTCATGATTATGATATTGAGAACTAAAATGTAATACTTTAGATCCATTGTGCATTCTTTGAACCAACAAGGTTTAAAATTCTCCAACAAGAAGGTTTTCACTAGCCCCTTAGTTTATTTTTAATTATGATTGTTTTCAAGAAAGTATATTCACTATATCACAAAACAATCCACTAACCACGAGAAATAAAATACTGAATTTATTTAATCGATACTTTTCGTCTAGAAAGCTTATATTAAAACGTTAGTTATAACACGAAACAAAAAGAAAACTAAGTCAATTTGTACTGTATTAATCATATCTACTTATATTAAGATAACGTCGATGACGATCGCTAACTTTCAGTCGTATCTTTGCTGGGAAATAATACGATAATAATTTTGTTATCACATCGATATGAATGGAATAATAAATATTATGAATCTTAAGGAATTCCTAATCCATATGTGAATTAATAAGTCAGTGAAGTTTCAATTCTCAAATTTTTTATTTCACTTGGGCACCTACATGTATGTACGTTAGTAGGCGTTGTAGACTGTGAGTTTTTCTTCAGCGGAATTTGATTAAAAAGGTGGCCGTAATGTTACAAACATTGGCGTATCTAGAAATATTTTTCAGGGTGGGTTTGGGCCTTAACTACAAAAATAAAAATCGAACATTATGCTTATAAAAAAATAACAGTTCGTATATATCGTTAATAATTTTTATTCCTTTTAGATAGTAGTATTAACTAATTAGTAGTTACTACGGTGTGTATTTACAAGTAATTGTTTTCAATGATTTTTTTATGAAATTTCTTAGGTATCCAGCCTAAAATTTCGAATCAGTAACCCAAAATCCTGGGGTGGGCACTAGACGATTCTGGGGTGGGCATGGCCCACCCGGCCACCCTGTTATATACGCCTATGGTTACAAACGAAAACCATCGAAATTTTTGCGTATTTTGGCAAAAATTAAATAATAGTACTTTAAATTAAAAAACAAATATATGTATCATGGTTTCATAAAAGTTGTGACAAAATATTGAGCTTGTGAAAATCCGCTACTTGCTATCCGCTAAGCTAAATTGACTAAAATTGAAAATTTGATCTATTTGTGACAATTTTATTCACTTACTACGAGATAAAAGACGCAAATGGAAGTTTATATAATACCAATACATTGACTTCTTTGTATTATGACAAAGTAATGAACTGGCTCAATCTCATCTTAAAATAAACACGGGAAACTCTGAAGTAAAACGACGAAAATTTGATTTCGGTCAGCTTATCTTCCGTAAGCTTAGGCAATTTTTTAAATTTCAATGAGGAAATACCGTTAATACCTATCAATTGGGACGTGAGATCCTCGTGATACAAGTCGCGGGCAAATTAATTTTACGAAATAAAATATAAGTTAAGAAAATTACAAATAGAGTATATAAAATAGAAGTGAATGTCAACTAACTAAACTATCAATATTTATGCAGAAAGAAGATGAACATGGTTCGAGATTATTAACGTACGAGCGTTTTGTCTTTAGTTAGTGAATAAAATAAGACAATGACAATATAGATTAATGTTTAATGATAATGTTAATATTGAATTTTTGTCTTAAAGTACGCTGTATACATATATAGTGTAAAGCTATGTACACGTCATATCGCTCCTCCCACCGAATAATATGGTAATGTGTTATAACGATACTTTGGGTTTTATTGCATATTCGTCATGTAGACATCCTTTTACATCTTGTAAATTTTTTTCACATTTTTCCTGTGAGTAATTTTGAAACTAGCATTTATATAATAACCATATCCTTATTATTCCGTTACAGGTTTAGTATAATTATTTACATGAATAAAATCGCTACTGGTGATTACTACTTGCACTACAAATAAGGTTTTAAATGTTGACTATAACGATATTATTCGAGTAAAAAAGAGCAAACTCGAGTTCTAGTAAAGTATTCTGACAATACTATTCCTGTAGTAATTTTATTTGAAAAATGTGGTAATGTTGGTTAACATTTAATTATATTTAAAAAAAATACAGTTATGACCTTTGCAAAAGTTTACCGTGGCGTTGTTTACACTCAAATTAAGATTGCTGTATTCTTTATTACCACGAGCCACAAGTAATATGCATCGCTTTCTTTTTTTCTTAAGATAAAGAAAAGGATAGAGCAATACCGAGTACTCGGCACGTGCTGGTTAATCGCCGTGTTTGTTTACTTTAAATCCGTACCAAAAAATATTTAGGTAGTGATGCGCTCTCAGTATCAATATTATAATAAGTACTTACTTACATAATTATCGAGTTCTTTTTGTATTTTACATTAATATTGTGTTTAGTGTGATTTTGAATACGATAAAATCACAAAGAATATGAAAAAGACAGTTTTGAAAAACCCCCTAGGCAAATTCTGGATTTACTGAAATTTCCTAAAGGTAAGTACCTATAAGATTTATATACTTACGTATCTATATGATTACGTACTGCTTGGCTAATAGAACTATGAACCTACCTAAAATGACCGTGGCTCGGGTGCCTTTGAGAAGGTTTTAGAGGTAACTAACTCTAATCCGTTGCCAACCATGTGAAGAGGGAGATACCTAGTTGTCGTACATGAAGACTAGGTATTTATCATTATTATCATTTCAGCCGGTTGCTGGCCAGTACTGGGCATAGGCCCAATCTAGTTTCTAAATTGATGGATTATCGCCTCAGAATCGCAGATATCGCCCTAAAAAAAAATATTCAGTTAATACCTAATTTATACTGTCCCTCTACTTCATTTTTTTTTCAGACATCCAGCCATCCACTTCAAGTGCACTGACTGAAGATGTCGTAATTACTGAAATTCTTCGGACAATTCTTCTTCTTCTGTACGTGACAATGACAGATCATATCTTTTCAGCCCAGAACTTAGCCACTTCGACAGCACAATTTGTTTTCTTTATTTTTTACGTGTGGAAAGTTGCCAAACGAGCAGACGGTTCACTGATGTTAAGTGAGTACCGCCGCCCATGGACATCTGCTACACCCGAGGGTTTGCAGATGCGTTGATAACCTTTTTGGAAATTGTGTTCCGGCCACCTCACTCACCAGACGAAACACGAAAGTATTTATCATACTTCCACTTTACGCCGGTCTTCTGTGAGGTCGTGGTACTTACCCGGACGAACCTACCCATTCGTGCAACAGCCGAGGCTGCTGCGTGGCCCTACCACCGTAAAACCGTACCGTTGTGGCATCCATCAGATCCTGCTGCGAACAGGTAAAAGGGCAGGCAGGACAGGACATCAGATGGGCCATAGACTGCACTGCTCCACACATACAGTCCAGTTCTGAGTTTTCTGAGAGTCCCCACCTGAACATACGAATCTGATTAAAGACTTCCAGGTTGGCCAAGGTAGTCTATGACCAGCTGGAAGACTCTCAGAAAGCGGGACAAAGGGATCCGGAAGCGGAGTTTGAATACGCCACATGCTGCATCTCGCTTGAGAGGGCTCGGTTGTGAGGGGGACAACATATTTTAAAAAACTTTTTCGACTTTTCAGCCTTCGCGGTGGGAGCTCATGCACATGTAGGGGGTGCCGCTTATGGTTCGTAGGCCTTAGGCCTCTCTAGCGAGCTTGCCACGGCATGCTTACAACTGGCAGCGCTATGCCAGCCAGTGGATACAGCAACTTCACCGGGGTTGGCTTCAATTCAGACAATCAATCCGCTTGATAATGAAACAGACTTTAAAAACTCTGTATAATTTACGTGATATGCACTAATGCAATAAATATCAGCAAATAATATTAATATTAGGATTAATATCTGTGTATGCTGTGTGACAGCGATTACTATTGCGCAAGACACGGCTGAGACAAACACTGAAGTAGTTTTTAATTCTAATAATAAAAAATTAACTAGGAAACGATGACCAAAAGACTCAAAAATAGCAGCGAATCTTATGAAGGTGCACGTTCAAAAAAAACTGTATGCTACTAAAGACATCGGTCCTTCATGCTCATGCAAAAAGATTGTGGCATAACATTTTCTATGGAGCAACTACAGGCGATATTTGACACTTTTTTATAGACTGAAAGATAGAAACTCCAATGGCAATATATCGTGAGACTCGTTCAAGCACAACCTGTAAAACGCATCACTTTAGAAAGAAAAAATAACAGGATACATACCATTTAATATTATTTTAAGCAGGACCATGCATCTATTCAAGTTTGTATTTTGTATTTTTATACTACGTATTACAGAACAGGTAGTTTTACAGCTCAAGAGAAAATAGCGCAGGACGAGACCCTAATTAGACAACAGAGGAACTCATTACAAAAGACCTCATAGGATGTCCGTCAAAAAAATATAATGACACATATGGAACACAGATGGAAACAGCTCATTCCATCTGTTGAATCTCATAATACACCTAAGAGATCCAAGCGCCAATATTTATCTGAATAACTACACCTTGCTAAAATGTATCGACTGTATACCGTATGGTTTCTAAATCAACAATATACACCAGAACTATTTGCATCCAAAAAGCCAAAACGAATCTGTATTTAACACACAATATAATTACACATTTTTCAAACCAAAAAAGATCTATGCGGAACGTGCTCGTTGTATGAATAAGCTGAGAAAGCTAAATTCGAATAGAAATATAAACAGTATTTACTACGAAATGCTAAAGTAGGCCAACTAAAAGATGAAGAAATAGGTCGCTATTTCTTCATCTCAACAGACAAGACTTGACTTTGAGTCCACTGCTCTAAATAGGCCCCCCCATAGACTGTCACGAAGTACAATCCTGAACCACCTGCATCCATCGACTTGCCGCACATTTGCCCAGGTCGTCACTCTATCTAGTGCGGGATCGTCTTGCACCGCGATGCCCAGTACGAGGCTGCCACCTCAAGAACCCTTCTTTCCCAACGGTTATCGGTTCTACGACATATATGGCCGGCCCATCGCCACTTCCGCTTGCTAATCTTCTGCGCTATGTCGGTTACCTT